ATATAATAAGCATAAGTATGATTAATATTTTCAATTCATCTCGTTTGTATTCAAGAACAATGCACCGAAAGAATTCTTCACGCATCAATTTATTCTTTTACTTTTTTCAAAAAGAGCTATTTCTTTGTTTTTAGGTAAACAAAAACAACTACTAAAACTTATGTGTCGTATTTTATCCTTTAAAGATTTATTCTTCACTCATCTTGAAATGCCGAAAATATCAATAGGTAAGTATGATTTATAATTTCATTTCATCTTTGTTATGTTCAAAAATATTTAAAAAATATTCTTCTTATGTGAATGTAATGTTTCATTAATTGTGTTTTCTTGCTTATTTAGATCAATACCACTAATGAGAAAAAGCTCATCACTAGGTGTTTTCTCTTTATTGAGCAGGATTCTTTCATCGTTTGATGTCAGAAATAAAGTTCATAAGCACATTATTAATTTTAATTCATGTTGCTGATACTGAAACAATATTCATCAAAAAAGATCCTTCAGATGTGAATCGATTTTTTTATTAAATATCTTTTTCTTATTTTTCAGATCAACAAGAACGACTACTAAAAATTCTGTATTGTGTTTTTCTCTCCGTCAATCAAAGTATGTGTCTCTCGTATGTTTTGAGAAACGAATCACTAAATATAACTGGCGGCTTTAGCTACTTTTTGCAGTTAGAAAATTCACGAAAATTCCTTTCAATATATTATCGTTTTTTTCATTAGTGATCTTTTCCTTTTTGTTTAGACCTACGAGAACAACTGCTCAAATATCGATGGAGAACTTTTCTTCTCAACAAGCTGTGCTTCAATATACCTTTTCAACAACTTAACGTCTTTTGTATCAGTAAAGTTATGAAAAATTTCTTTTGTAATATATCGCAAAATTTGCTTTTAAAGTCTTTTTGTTTTTTAGATCGACGAAAACAAGTACACAGAAACTCCATTGCCGAGTTGCTATTTTTATCAATTCAGTTTCCGGTCATCTTCGAATATGCAACAAAATGATATATCAGTATAAGTTGTAGTTTTGCTTTATGCTTTTATACTCAGAGAAAAATTCTTTGAAAAGGTTCTCTTATATCAATAAATGTTTTTGTAATTCGTTTCTTTTGTCTGTTTAGACGATGAACGACAGCCACAATCAGGGTCATCTGTTATTTCTTTATTTTTCAGGTTCTGTTCAACTTGTGCTTCTCAACAAACTGATTGGATATGTATGATTAATAATTTTACAGCAAGTGGTTTCCACTGAGGAAAGTAACGACACATATTCTCAATACGTTGTTCTTTTCAGATGATTAATCTTTTCTTTTTTAGATGAGTACGATTATCTTTCAATAGTGTCGCAAAGAGTACTGTTATAAATGGATTTGTTTTTAGGATCGTCATGTACTGTTCACCATCATGAGGGGTAAGTTTGATTTATTATTGTAACTAATTTTTTTTTCTTTGTGAAAGTGTGTCAAAAAAAATTTCATATATCAAACTATTATCTTTTGTCTATGGATTGCTTGGGTTTTGTTCCATTGAACAACGAGAAAGAAGAGAACTGAGGTTTCGAAAGTTTTTTCCCAATAAGTTGATTTTATCCCATATATTCTTGCGTGTAACACACGAAAACATGGCTATGATTGTACATTGTATTTTACTTTATTTATTTCAGGGAAAGACGTAACTCAGATAGGTTTGTGCACATATAGGTATATTTATGTTTTCTCAGAAGGATCTGTTGTCTAGCTAGATCCAGAAGAAGATTTACCAAGACTTGTGATTAGAGTTTTGTTGCTTAAGAGATTATTTCTGATTCATATAGCAATATCAGCAATTGAAATAGGCTACTATTATTCTAAATTACAAGTTTTGCCCATTTTATTAAGAAAACTCATTAAACAAATTGTATAGATACTAATGTAGGTTTGAGTTGCTCTAGTTTTTACACCCTATGTTCATCATGAAGACGAACCTTCATGATGTTTTCCACCTGTTCGTACTTTTCAACTGGGTGCTGGTTATCGTCTACAATGCAGAGGAAGTCTCAAGATTGAAGAATCAATTGGTATTTAGAAGATTAGGGTTTAATATTAGGTATTGTTGTTGAAGCTATGTGTTAGAGCTATTGCACTGTATTTACTCAAACAGAATGCTTGATTTGAATGATGTTGAAGAATCTGTTATGATTATTATATTGATTAATATTTACTAATTCTAATCTTTTCTTTATTGAGATATGACTTTCCAACTTCTTGTGTGAATCAATCTGGCTATGATTATCAAATTAAGCTTTGTCACATATAAGTGAGTGTGCTCTTTATTTTTTTGTTTTAGCTCTTTTTATGTTGAGAATGATTTATGTCAAGCAGTGCTTTCAATTGATTGAATTCATAATAACTTTTTCATATAAAATGAATTATTATATTGGTATTATTAGTAATGTCTTTGGTAAGAAAGTAGTAGTCTGTTAATTAATTACTGATTTTTCTTTTAGATTTGGGTGAACAACGTCTTCGAAGAAAATGAATGATCTTCTAAATGGAATCTGCTCATTCTCTCTAAACCGATCTCAACAGCAGAGTCAACCGCGAGTATTAATTCAGGTGAGTGAAGCTCTTGCGTAACTTCGTAGACGAAAGCAATAAATAGATCAGGAATAGGATCATCAAGTATCTATGACCGTGAAGAGGGCTATTTTGATACTTCTAAAAGTTCAAGATCTCGTAAAAGTTTAGATGAGCATTAAGGCATTACGGAAAAATCATACAATAATCTTACTGTAGCATTTTATGGGGGTTTTGCGACTTTTCATTAGACTCATTCCGTCGTCATGGAAATTTTTTGTTCCTTTAGAGAACCGTGCAATCAGTTCTCATAAAACCTTTATAACATCATAGAAAGCTTGATAGTGAGCTTCTAAGTTACTTAGTTTCCTTTTGGTTTCACTATTCTCTGTCTGACGTATCTAATCCAAATTATTTAAACAGAAGATTTCGTTAAATCAACTGTATATTCTATATTCTTCTTTGATTGGCTAGATTTCGATATATCCATAGAGCCATCTCCCGCTTTTCTAGCTTCACTTCTTTCTAAATGAGTTTAGATCTGATTTCTCAGATTGCCAAATTAGGACACGAATAGTAAGAAAACTGCAAATTTATAAATAATAGCAAACAAGCATTTCTGTCAAACTTCGACAAGTCCGACATTCTCTCGTTCCTGGTCGTATGTGTCCATCATTAATGATGAAAAGAATCTCCTCTACTCAGTCACTCATCGAGGTCTGAAAGTAACTGATAATACTCTTAAGTAACTCGAGATACATTACCTTGTAGCTCAGTAGCTATAATTGAAGTCAATCATCCTTCGCATATACCTTTTGATAAACCCTTGGGCAAGTTGAAGAGGTCCATCAACCCTCTCATATACCTTTTGATAAACCCTAGATAAGTTGAAGAGATCCATCAACCCATTAATATACCTTTTCATAAACCCT